GCAGTCTAATTTCTGTTTTCATTATGACTGCTACACCTGAGGTAACGGGGAGCAAGGGGTCACCACCATCTCTATGCGTCTGTACTCGGTGGGCTGAGCATCTTCACTGTGACATTAATGTGAGGGGCTGCGCGGTATTGTGGTCATGCTATGGATTTCGTGCGTCTTTTTTTTTCTCTCTCTTGTTTTCAATGTTTGTCCCTTCATTTTGCACCTGCTAAATCGTTTACAGATTCTTAAGTAAACCAGCTCACTTAATGGAGACTGGACCAACATATTGAAAACCCCGCTGAAATAGAACAAGACATATATTTTTAAATTAGAGCTTCATTTATAACATACCAGTAGTGATTTTTCAGGATTAGTCCTCTGATGGTGATTTCATTAAATGTCTACTTACCTACTAGAGCTAGGCTTGGTAGGAACATCGTTAATTAACCCTCTGGTTCCGTATAGATGAATGTTGAAGCACTTAATAATATATACAAATTTTATGAATTGGTTTATAATGTAGAAATGATCTGTTGCTTTTCCTAAAACGGCTATATAGCTTTTTTTTTTTTCTCCTGCTGTGGTCATTTAAGGTAGTATATTATGAAGAGTGGTGAAAATAATTAACAACATAACAGCCATATAGATGTCTAAAATTGCAAAGCAAACCCTAATTTCTCAAAAAGCCATATAAACTTTTAAGCTCTTTCAGTGAAGGTTGTCTGTGTAGTCTGTGCTGCGTTTGGTTACTAAACCACTCCCTGGGTCTATAGATCTGCTTCAGGGGGTCATGAAGTCCCTGGAGTTGTATTAATTTGAGTTGCTGCATTTCTAGAAAGACAGAGTGGAGTCTTCGGATATCCAAAGGGATCTGTAACCCAATAGGAAAGTAAGAACGATGAAGTTAAAATATATAAGCTACACTTTTTCTCGTCAAAACAATAGAGTCTCTCCATAAAGCCTGCAGACATAAAATGGCAGGAAAAAATCTAGAATAATTAAATAGTGTTACAATAATTAAACATTTCGTATAAAATGGACCCACTTGTATGTTTTCAAATCTACCAGTTAGGAAACTTAGGCAGATAAAGTTTATTTGGTAGAAATTTGTAATGAATAGATAGATGAATATCTTCTGTTTCTTCCTGTATTATAAGAGCTCTTTTTAGTATATGTCAGAATAAATAAATAAATAAATAAAATTATTATTTTTTCTTTCATTGGATATAAATAGCCCATTTCTAGATGTCCTGGTAGAAAATAACATATCTAAGACAGTTTTCTGTTATTTAGAGAATGTAGAAGAAAATATAAGGGTATTTTATTTCTGTCTGGACACCAAAAGAATAAGAAATGTGGGAAACTTCACAATGCTTAGTACTTATATCTCTTATAACTGTGTTTTTTTAAACGATCTTGCTTGAAGGCATTATTTTGAAAACTTTTAATTAATATTATATTGTACTAAAGAAGTAAGTGATAACCAAAATTAAATTATTTCTATTAAGAATACATCAATAAAATATTTTTGTGATTACATGTCAAGAGTTTTGTGATAGATATTTTTCAAACAAAAACTCTTGAGTTCACATTATTTATTTGATAAATAAAAATATTGCATAACCTTGAATCTTGTCAGAAACTATACAAGGGAAATTAAATTCTGTATTTACATGTGTAGGTTGCATTTGACAAAAATTAATGTGAGTGTGCAGGGGAGACAGAACCGATATTTTTAAAAGTTAGTTTAAAACAACATATGTACCCTCAAAGTTTCTAATTAACCTTTACTCAGAAATAGATAAAAATCAAATTAGCCTTGAGAATAAAATCTCTCCAAGAGAAATGGAAAGATAAATCAATATTTGAATAAACCAAACTAAAAAATATTTATTGATGGGAAAAAATTTTGGAGGAAATGTTATTCAGAATATTTTCTGTGTCAGATTTCGTAGGAGGTTGCTTAGCTTTTATTTGCTAGAATATATAACTTTTATGGCACTGATTTTTTATATCACTTAAATTATAAATATTTAACCAAACAACTTTAATATCACTATTTATTACTTTTCTGTATATTTGAAACAGGTATTTTTCTTTCAAAAATATCAATAATTTCAATGATGTTTAGTCTCTAGGCCATGCCGGTTTATAAAGTATCTATTAGGTGCCTGTGCAATAGTTTTGTTTTGGGTATCTCCATCTTGATCTGATACAAGAAGTGAGAAAGGCTTTTTGGCAATTTTTAGGTCTTTAGATGAACAAACTTAGTTGCTCATTGACTAGTTATTTGGGGTTAGAGTAAATTTTTGGCTATCCTGAATCACATTTGCTTCTTTTCTCTCAAACAGTTTGGAAGTATCTGACCTACTTCATATATTTTTCTCTCCACTGAGTTCAGGTCAAAAACCTTTATCTTCCTATAGCCTTGAGGCTTATAGAATATGAATAGAATTACTTGCAAGGATTCAGCAGCTTTAAGCCAGCTCCCACCTCAGCCTACAGTAGGAGAGAACGACTGCCTTATAAAACTTGAGGAGCTCCGGGGTATGATTCCCCCTTGCCACAAAATGTGATTCTCACTAACTTTGCTTACCTGGACTGCCTTCTGGCCATTAACAATCTTTTATTAAAATGAACTTTCCCTTTCTGAAAATCAAAGGCAACTCATTAATTAACTCACATACCACCTCCTCCTTCTCACCATAGTAGGAATTAGCAAGAAGCCAGCAGAAGACAATGAATACCCTGACGAAAGCAAGTTGGGTAGACCAAGGAAAATTTCTTAATCCTAAACTATTTTCCAGATTTTACCTATCTACATATCCCCAATTGCTATGCTGCATTACATTAAAAATAACTGTTTAGATGTCCATATCTCTTCTCAAACTGAAATCTCCCTCAGGATATTCATCATTGGGCTCACAGTGCCTGGCACATAATAGGCATCTCGTAAGCCTATTATGTCTTTGTAATTATTGAATTAAGGTTTTTTTTTTTTTTTTTAATACCTTGATGGTACAGGTGGTTCTACTGAAGAATACGATTTAAAGAATATTTGTTTTGCAATGACCCTCCATGGAATATTATGGTCTCCTCTCATATGGCCTGCAGCCTGCTCAGAACTGCTTGTAAACTGTTATTTCTTTCACCATAGTCCAATTACCCTTTGTATTTCCAAGTTTACATCCTTTACTAGTGTTATTCTCTCCTTATTACCAGTGCTTATGGACCCCACTCAATATTCCACTTTCTTTGGGAATCTAAAACAACAGAGGATTTTCTTTCTATACATTAATCAGCTGTCACTGCTCAGGTCTTCATTCAGCATCTGCACGTTTGGCTTTCACAGGACCTTAACCTGCCCGACTTCCCTTTGAGAATCCACTGGTGTCTGCCCACTTGAGCCTTCACATCTCTCAGGATTGCCCCCGCTGAAAACGCTGAGAATCTCAAATTTCTGACTTCAGCATCCTGTCTTTCCAATAAGTTCATTCTCCACTAATCGACATCCTCTTCTTCCATTATTTTTCCTTGGCTGCACCCAATTTTCTCATATTTTTGTCTTTACTTATCACACTCATCTTGGACAGCAATGTCGGCTCTGCTCCAGCCCTCAAATCTTTTGCCACTCTAACCTGATTCTCTGGTTTCAGTTTAAGGAATGGCTAACAGTGCTAGGAATTTATTTTATCTTTCTTGGCTAATTTCATGTCAAAATCTCCATAGCACATGTTCCAGATTTTCCCAGGCTTTCCAGTCCACTCAAATTATCCTTACTCTTTTCATCAAATAAGCTGATGACCCTATTTCTTAGTTCACAGAGTACATGAACACTTACTGCAATTAAATTTAATCTTTACTTTTAGTTGGCCTATTGTTCCAGAAGGTCAAGATATTTTTGGAATCTGATTCCATAATACGGATTAGCAATTCTTCCCAGTGTAGAGCCATATGCAGATTTGATCAGTATATAATTAATATCTTCATCCAAGTAACTGTAAAAGGCTGAACTGGAAGGACGTTTGGCATGTTCCTAGCCACCTTCCTCTTGGTTTTACATAAGTCCAGGAATTAGTCCTCCTCATAAGGCTGTTCTACCAGTTACATAATCAAGTAACTCTCTTTCCTCAGAGTTTGCATTTGTTTGTGTGGCCCAGGAGTATACTACGACAGAGTTGGTCAAATTCCTTGCTAAAATGTGTTTCTGCTTTCTTCAGAATAGATACCTAGTAACCCTATTAAAACCAAGAGGAAATAATACTCAGTTCATTTATAATGATATGTCCCTTGCAACCTCTCCCC